TACCATATACCAAACAGAAGCAAAATCTACGGGTTTCTCTTCATGAAAAGCCTTATTGCAGAATGTTTATATGCTATAGTTGAAAAAAAACATTCTTGTACATTATTTTTGTGATTTGAATAAACAATTACAGAAAGTTATTTAAACAGGTGCTCTGCCAAAGCAAATTAAACTAGGAAAATATACTGGTAACAGTAAGGACTCGGGTAACAGGAAGGACAAAACAGTAACAGGATGGACCAAATAGTGTAACAGGATGGACAATGAAATCTACATTTTAAATAAAAATTGACTTTTTTTAAACTTTATTGGTTAAGAAAAGAGAAAGAAATGTAGAAAATAAAAACATAATTTTGTCAAATCTGGCAAATTCGAGACAATAAAAGACATTTATGTCCATCCTGTTACAAAATTTAATTGTAAAGTGCTATTAAAATATCTATCACTTCAATTTTTGTTTATTAAAGGTACTCTATGCTGTTGCAAAACTAAGAATTTTTCATAATTTTAAGAAAAACAAATGAGAAAACTTAAATAGGTATATAAATACCAGGATAATTTGTCCCTCCTGTTGCAATTTCTGTCCATTCTGTTACAAGAGTGCTTGTTTAAGTTATAATGGCACTATCTGAAGCACAAACAAATTTCAATATGATTTACAAAGTTTTTTAACATGTGTTATTAAACTTATATTACGTAGAAAAATAATAGTAATTGTTTTTGTTGTTAAAACTCAAGATTTCCTTACTGTTACCATATTAATGGTAAAAGGAATGACAGTAACAGGATGGACGTTTCTCATATAAATCACCAGTTAGTTAGTATAACGTACTCTTTTTGCATCATTGAGACATTGAAACCATTTCTTTGTAACTTAGTTAATCTAATTGTTCTAGCTGAATAAACAATTTAAAGAGTACTTGCATAATATGAAGGTAACAGATAGGACGTATTTTAATTATACTCTACCAATAAGACAAACTTATTGACCTTTGAACCCTTTCTTTACTCACTTTCAAATCATGGCGCTCATAAACTTGAGACAACAGAAAATGATGATATAATGTGGATCATAAAAACAGTTCCTAGGAAAGTGAGATAACTTTTATTTTAACATTTTCTTTTTGGTAACAGGAATGACATAAACTTGTAGGACATGTCACTTCCTGAATGTTAAATGCACAATACTAGTATTTAGTGGGTGGCATAAGTAAAACAATCATATTAAATTAATCTGTAAATGAATTCAATTAATATGAGGTGCAAAATTTGTACATATCTTCACAGGGTAATATTTTCCCCATCATTTAACTAAGCGAGTTATAAAATTTTTGTTGAAGAGACATGCTTTTACTGTTAAATTTTACTCGGAATGCATAGAATATTTTTTATAAAACACCTGGGAGATGATCATAAAATAACTTATAAGCTGTATGACCATGTATATTTGTTACATTAAAAGTTTAAATCTAAAGTTTAAACTTATCTATAACTAGTTATAGATAAGTTTAAACTTTAGATTTAAACTTTTAATGTAACATATTAACCAACGGGGAAAAAATTTCACTCTTAAGAATGTTTTTCCTATTATTCTGATCAAAAGACAAAAAAGTGAACTTTTTTTGAAAATGACCCATATATACATGTATGATCTCAAACAAATGATTTATGTATAATATAGTATAATTTAATCAAGGAGATGGGAATTGTGCTGTTCTTGCCTCATTTTATTATATGTACACTTAAAAGTGCTTGACTTTTGTGTCCGAAATTACAGTTCCATTAAATTTTTGACGAAATCTATTTGAGACTGAATGAATACTAATATATTTTTACGCAAGAACGGCAGGTCCTTAAGAAGCCATTTCAGTTGAGGGGGGGGGGGGGGGGGCAGCTATATTTTTTTCAGTTGTGGGCACTTTCAACCACCAAATTTTCCTTGACAAGCAAAACAATTTTTTTACGGCCAGGAACGATCATCTATTCATTTTCCTCCGTGGCAATGGCTAGTTAACTTGATATCTTATAAGTTTTTCACATTTCGATGCGATTGTCTTATCTAATAATGAACTGTTACGACCAACTTTCGTTAATGCTTTTTGTATGAGGCGATACTGTTAATTAAGCAATAATATACCGCTCTAATTTGACTCTCTCTCGCTGAAAATATTTAGGCAAACCATTTTTTCCCTAGTTATTACTTCAGAACATGCATACCAAACATATCAACAACAAAAAAAAAATTGACCCGTACCTTGCCTGTCCCCTCACAACTCGTTTGAATATAGAAGGGGGGGGTTCAGTCAGGAAAAAAAATACCTTAAAAAAACCTACTCCAACCAAAAAAGGGGGTGTCGAAACTCAAATCCAATTTCGCCGTCGGGGAAGGGGGGGGGGGGTTAGGTTCTTTGATACTTGTGTGTGTGGAGGTAGGGGGAGGGGCGGACTTTCAATGTACACCCCCAACCCCCGTTGCTACTTGTGTGTGACTGTATTATACCGGGGTATTTTATTTAAAAGAAGAAAAAAAATGTGTTTGTTTATTAATTACTTTCCGTAGAGTCATGATAGGATTATGATATAGTCTTATCTCGGAGCCTTAAGAAATTAATGTCGAGATATACCGGGTATTGATGCATGTATCAGAGTTGAAGATTTCAACGCAAAATGTGACTTTATTTATTTCATATCATGAATTCAATAGTCAGTGATATATATTTCACGCTCATTAAAGTTTTTAAAGATTTTGAACATTTTCATAACTTTTGGAAATTACACCCATAAGAATTTGTCACATACTTCTTGCTCTTTTAATGATGTATTCTCAAGAGATGTAGCCATATATCTGATGTTATCCAGAAATTCGTACGTCTTTTGGCTTAATCTATAGGTTTTTTTTTCCTTTTTGTTTATAAATATCCTCATTCATAATATCACTGTCTATATTGTTCACTTCTTCAACATTGGGTATACAGCTTTTGGGAAAAGTCTACAATAGCAGTATTTAATTTCTTAACATGTTGCAAAATAGGTTCCAGTGGGATTTCATTCATTCATTTTATCGGAACAATTTCAGAAATTTGAAACAATAGTAATTTCTACCATACAATTGCTTTGAATGTATTTATTTAATAATTTTAAATTAGTTTCTATAAGCAAAATTTTCCTGGCATCCCCATCATCCATATTTTTCCCTTAGCATATTCTATTGCTGTTAATTTAGTAAAAAATATTTATTGTTGATGTAGAAGGTTTAGATCTCCCATGTAACCAGTATCTTTATTCAATCAAAGAGGGATTATGTTTCTTAGCTTTTATCGGACTTTTTATTCGTCGATTTTTTTGGCTTGTCGTCTTATCCCCCCCCCCCTTTGTTTTACATAATTTTAAACTCGACAGTTCCCTGAAGGCTGGTTATCGGGGCATATCAGTATGATTAACTATGAATTAAGATTAAAATGGCTAAATACGTTTTAAACCATTGTATATATTTTTCAAGAACGCTAATTACTATATGTGCATAGATCTCTCGCTCGCTTTTCTCTCTCTCTATCTCGGTTCTCTGAGAAAAAAAATATACGTGTACATGAAATATACCTTTTAATATCAAGACTTCTAAACATGAATTCAAATTTCATCATTTGTAAATTGCTCAGAAAACAAATATGCAGCATCTTTAATTTATTCATTTATAGACATCGTTTTAATCGCTGTTCCAGAGCTAGCAACGTGCATGTCCAATGCCGCGTATATCACCATCAAGTTAAATACTTTTAACAAAATTATGAATAAATTTACGTACTAAATTGTAATAATATCATATACTTATTAATAAATGTCCGCATCAACATGATCAAGTTTCAAATTTTTGTTACGCTTTGAAATTCAATTTCATTTCTTGTTCACAAAATACAGTCAACAAAAATTACATCCGTGTTTGCAATACCGCGACTTTGACGTCGTTTTTTGAGCATTGTGACGTCAAAAGATAAGGGCCTTTTTCTCATGACGACAGTCAAACATCGAATCCTGGAATTCAAGAGAGAGGATCAAGTACCTAGGAGTAGTAAGCATCCCCTTCCGGCTGCTTACATATACATCTGCCATGTGCTATAATAAGTATTGATCGGTTGTTCTGGTCATTCCGTCGGCAAATTCAGTTTAAAAACAAAGGCCTAAAAGTCTCTATGATGAACGTGATGACTTTAACTTTTCTATTGTCAACTTCCATTACTTATGCAGCAACATGCCTTCATCACTTGCATACTGAGTAATTATCTCTCAGTAAATTCGAAAAGCCTCTCTTACAGTAATCATTTTGTAAGTTTTATGGTCGATACAATGACCTTGTCAGCAATTACAATTTATCATTGAGTCAAATACTGTCTGACGTTTTTCATACTAATTGTTTGTCCATTATTTAAAAACCGAATTGGTGACGGATTTTCCTATTATTTTCTGATAATGACAAAGAGCGCACAGCGGGTGTGACCGGTCTGCAAAGGATGCTCACTTTTCCATGGCACCATGATCCCATCTCTGATGTTTCGGAGGTCTGTGTTTACTCTGCTCCGATTTTGTATTGTTTTATGAACTATTAAGCATGAATTCTGTCCAAGTATTTTCCCCTTATACGTATAGTAGTTCCTTTAAAATAAATTGCTCTATTTTAATTTTGGAATCTACAAAAATTGTACATTGGACTGAGAGGATGTGTGAAGACCATTCTAATTTTTCATTTAACTTAATGAATTTTAAATGCTTTTCTTTTATCGGTTTTTGTCATTAGTCGAAACTGGTAACGTCGAAGAAATCAGATAGTTAGGAAACTGACAAAAACATTTCTTCTAGAGAAATGAATACTTTTTTCGGATCAAAAGCTCTTTTGAAATCCCAATCGTATTGTTTTTATTGTCGTGGCAGCTCTGCACAGTTAACAATTTTTCTGTAATTTAGACTTTCATTAATATGTTTAGTAATTGCATTCATTTTGCTTTTAGTACAAAGACAAAGGGGAAGATTTGCTGGATTTTCTTTAATTATTTCAAACACAATCAGAAAACAAAGTGGTTATAGTTGTTACAAGGACGGACCGGAATTACCTCTGTTAGATATTACCAACGTCTGCACCAATCATGGGCGTTACATTACATTTTACAACGAGAGAATTGATGGGGAAAAATATCCTGATAATTACGAAAAATCAATTGTAACTGAGTTATGTGAAGTGAATGTGATGGGTAATATCTTACTTACTACTGATATAAATCATTACGTTAAGTATGTGCATGTTATCTTTAATATATACTCATCTATGCTTTGTGTTTCAAGGTTGCATTAATGATGGCTTTTATGGAGAAAACTGTGACTTTCCCTGCCCCTTACAATGCCAGGACAGAAGATGTCATATAATAAATGGAACTTGTCTTGGCTGTACAACTGGTTGGATGGGAGATTTCTGTAATAAAAGTAAGATTTCCATTTTCCCATCCCTTGAATAAAGACGTATACCGAGGCAGTCAACATTTAGTTATAAAGTTGAAATTCATTATATACTGAAATATTAACAACACTTAGTAAACATGAACTTCCAGTCATTTAATATTTTTTCTTTTTCAATAGTAAAATTTCAATTTTGGAAAATATTGTAACCCTATTTTCAGTAAATAGTTGCTTCTTCATCTATGGTCTCCTTTTTCATTTTCAAAGAAAAAACGTAATAGTTTTAAAATACAAGAGAAAAGAAAACAATGCTAAATTTTATTTTATTTTCAAACAGCTTGCGCCTATGGGTATTATGGCATGGAGTGTAAATCAAAGTGTATAGGTCATTGCCTGGCTGGTACTTCCTGTAATCATATCAGTGGATTATGTGAATATGGATGCGATGCTGGATGGGCTACACCAACCTGTGATCAACGTAGGTACACGTGTATCTTCCTTACATTTTTGGCTTTACTGACAGAGTTAAACCAAGTAGTGTTCCACCTGCATATCGCAAAGAAATATTAAAAGAAGGTATGCCCTTAACTCTGCAAATCAGCTTTAAAAAATTATAATATATTCTATTTCTTTAAACTATATACAGACACTGACTTAATAAGAAATAAAATAAAGCAAGAACTGTTGTCAAAATTACGAAGAATTGACTTTGAACGATTTTTCAAAAAAGGGTACGGGGTTGTCCATTCATAAGAATTAAGGTTTGCATATAATTATATTCCCCAAAAAGTGCACAACGTATTAAAAAAGATTGGTTTTAAACCAAATTGATTCTTTATAAATATGTTGTCCGCTGCATTTCATTTCTGGAAATATGCATAGCATTTCCGACATTTTTTAATTTCATTTCGGACATTTTTTGTTTTCATTTCCGACATAATTTCTTTTTCGTTTCCGGAATTCACCTGTGCGGCAATTCAATTTCTTCTAAGTAAAAGAAAATGGAATTTTAAAAGTATTTATACTAAATTATTAATAATTCTTAAAAAAAACATCTATACATATGTTCATACATGTAGCACTAAGTCTAGGTAAAAGAGTTCAATGAGCATTTTTTACCACATTTAATGTGCACTAAATTAAATGTTAGTGACAGCACCATACTATGTCTTATGTCCAAGTCACTAATAGATTTACAAAATTGGATTTCAATAATTCATTTATGATTTATTCCTGTAAATTTTTCATAAGTAAAGTTATCAAACCTGTTACTATAGGTACTGCATATGTATTTGAAAAATGTCGGAAATGAAAACAAAAAAAAGTCGGAAATGAAAACTGAAAAATGTTGGAAATGAAAAGTTGATAATTACCAAAAATTTCGGAAATGAAGTGCAGCCAGTAAGCTTTTTGTCAACAAAATAACATGAGCGCAAAATTGTTAACCTTTAATACATACGTAAATGATACGTCGATTGAATAAAAGAATCAAAAACCTAAAAAGAGTATGGATTAAATATTTCTTCAAAATATTTTTGAAAACATAATATGGTTTTTTAATATGTACTTAAGTAGTACTTCATCTCATATTTCTGGGGTGTTTTTTTTTTCTTTTTTATTTGTTTTAAATGTCTCAGTACACCAAACATATGCACCTGTTTAACAAAAGCATCCAGTTACTTCCATTATTCAGGCCATGAGCCTAATGTGTTTTAGTAAAGTAAAATGGTTTACCTTTATGCCCAAGTAACAAAGAGGGACAGTAAACTTACTGTAGAGCAATGCTAGCTAACAATGTTTTTGATTGGTAGCAAAGCGATATTTAATCTACCACTGATATTAGGTGCTGCTTTAGGAACTCCTAGTAAGAAGTCGCTAATGATCTTATGATGAAAATTTGCAATAATCTTTTTTAAAGATAGAAACTTGATGTTTAGAGACCTACCCTTAATTTTTCATTACTTGACCGTCATTTGTTATTTTTTGAATAGCATGACTAAGTTGGTCAATGTGGGAAAACAAACATAAGAACCATAAAGAAGAATGATTAAACAGTCATAAAATCTAATTAGTTTTTGTAGGTCGGAAAATGAACTTACAGAGAATCATCCTTTGATTATCAGGCAAAAAAAATTTTAGAAGGGTAGATAAAAAATTATAGATAAACTGAAATTAAGCTTTTTTGTTTCAAAATCTCACGCAAATATATAAACACTGATCTGAAAAATACATATCGGTACATGGAAGTATGCTTAATATACTACAGATAATTTGATAATAGATAAGCCATGTAGACGTTTTCATTTTCTTAAAATTCCAATTTGTATTTGAAAATTTAATGATACCCCTATTAGCATAGGGCTCATTACATAAACTAATATCATAATGACATCGGATATAATGAATCGAATGTCACAATTATGTATATATACATGTAAAATGTGTATAACTTTAGGAATTATTGGCTTTTGTTTTTATATACTGAGTATAACTTTATTTTTCTTTAGTTTAAAATGAACATTGTACAATTCGACAATGCTTTGATTAATTTTCTTAATATATGTTGGAATTATACATGTACAACAATTGTAAATAACAGTCTGTAAAACAAGCTTTCAAAAAAGATTCTTGAAATCATATTTGTCAAAACTTTGTCAAATTGGACATAAGACGTTCACTCAATGCTTGTTATTGATTTAGAGATTGTCTGAAAATTTATCAAATTACAAGTAAAGTGATCTTGAAATAAAATTTTTTATATAACTTTAGAAAAATAATTGGAACAATTTATGTACATGTCTTCGTTTTGTTTTTGGAACTGTGTCGTAAAACAAATGTTTCAAATACTGAAAATTCAAATGAATGCTAAAGAAAACAAAATGTATTTGTGAATCACTGATATCCCTATAGGCCTTTCACTGTTAGAGTTAATGGAGAAAGTTAAACTTTTCCAATTCTAAGTCAAACTTTAAGGTCAAGATAAAAAGCACCTGTTTTAATGAATCTACTTGTAAAATAGAAAATCCCTCGCAAAAACTGATTCAAAATCTATTGCCAAGGTTAAAGCTTTTTTTCCAAAACGTAGATCAAACACAAGGTTAAAAGGTCAAAACTCTTGGTATTTATAGAAAGGCCTAGTCACCGGAAATAAACATATGAAATATGCATGAAAGCCTGTGTACCAAATATTCAAATGTTATAGCCAATATCAACGTTTTTTGAAAGTGGGTCTAATGTCAAGGTCAAGTAGTCAAAAATATTTACATAAGATCTTCTCACTACAAATGCACATGTGAAAGCACTAGCACCAACTGTTCAAAAGTTATTTCCAAGGCTGATTCTTTTGCAAAAACTGGGTCAAACTCAAGGGTCAAGGTCAGTAGGTCAACGATGTTTCTACCCCAAAAAATACCCTTCATATCTTGTCATAAGGTATCTACTTGTGGAACATAAAAGCAAAAAAGTCATAGCTTCGATAACGGGGGAAAAAATAAAAAATGGAGGTACAGAAGCGTAAAAACGTAACAAATAAACGAGTCAAAAATATCATTCTACATCGTCTACGATAGTTGATTCGGCTACGCCTCGAGAAATAATTGCTATCTTGAGGGACAATCAACTTGCTATTGTCCTCATAACCAGTAAATAAGTGTATCAAATTTTGAAAGATATATGTCGTGTAAATAAAGTAGACTGTATTTTGAAAATGACATAATAATATCATATACGAACAACATGCTATGGATATACATTTCCTAATGAAAAAAATGTGAAAAGAACGAATAGTGATGATTTTAAAATATCCACAAACAATTTGATTCTGTTAACTGGGCATAAATACGGACCCCCGCAAATTGCAGAAGTGGGATCAGGTGTCTAAAAAAATTAAGCATCTCGTGTTAACCCGTCACAACCGCCGTGAGGCATATGAATAAATCAAGTAAATGGAACACGTTGTTATGAAATGCTGACTTTGAACTTGGTTGTTGAAACCCGTGTAACATCAACGTATATGTAAATGCATCAACCTGCCTCAATTTAAAAATATTAATCTGGCTCTTGGTTATTCAATAAAGTAGTAGATGTAAAGAACATATGCAAATGATAACTGAATATTATTTCTTAGTAATAAAAGTTGACAATACAAAAGCGTAAGTCATCGATCCCATCTGGCAGGGGATTTAGTTTTTATTGGGTCTTAATCGACTATAGTCATTAGAATGTCCAAATTAGAATCAGACACAAATTCTATTGTATTAGCAAGAAAATTCTTAAACTTTTTCATCTGGAATCACATTGTGTGCATATTTTGGTGAGAAAAGTTGTATAATTATGCAATTTAAGAGAGCCTGCAGATTCCTCGTGATTCCTATCACGTACAAGCTTTCGTACCAATAGGCCTAAGCCATTCTTGACTTCGATCTAGTCAACATTTCTCTTGACAACAAAATTTTCTTGAACACTCTAATAACTTAACAATTGTACAAGGCAACTTAATCCATACTTCTTTGTTAGCGTAGTGTAAAGCTGTATCAAGAATCGAGGGAGGTCAACTGAACGCAAACATTTTCTTCTTTTCTTCTTTCAGATTTTGTAAATTTCAAGTTTTTTTAATTCATATAGACTGTTCAATACAATATTATCAGTTCACAACATGAAATATTTGATAATGAAGTTCAATTTTTGACTAAGAATAACAAAATGCAAATGTAGGGACACAGAATCAGAGCTGGACAATCAAGAAAATTTATGGTTTACGTATACGGGGGTTGTCCCGTAAAATCGTGGACAAAGCGTTTTTCCCGGGCGCACTAAGCTAAAAATTTCAGTAAGTGTTTATTTATCATATTTAAGTGCATGATAATTTTTTTGATAAAATATAGGCAAAAATAAAGATTTATTATGCTTGGATGTGCTCGAGGTATTGCCCTTTGGCGCACGGTCAAAAAACCAAGGTTTTATTAAAGAATACACAAGTTTGAATTCAAAAAAAAATTTTTAAATACATAAGATTTGGATTAAAATTATCCTAATTCAATTCCACAATCAATTTCGTAGTCTATGTAAAAATTTTAAGGCATTTGCTTAATTTTTGGCAGTTTCTCGAGCATTCGAAATGGGAAAGTGGTAAACACAACACATAAAAAATAGCTACGTTTGATGACGTTACGGCGCACCGGAGAGCAGTCCAGTTTGATTTCTATGTTGTAATGACACCTTGAGAGACTTTAAATGACCATAGAAGAAAAAAAAATCATAAAAATATCACCATATATTAAGTATACAAATGAAAATGATTTTCTTGGCGAAGTTTTTTTTTTTTTTTTTTTTGATCGAGTCCCTGGGGAGTACAAAACATACGGACAAACTTCTGATGTAATAGCAAAAGGCGCTGTCACAGTAGACCGCCGATATGAGATTTTCTATTGGTTGAATGATGGTGAGAATATTGTCCGTAACTTACTAATAAATCTTCAG